TATTTATTTCAGCCTTTTACTTTTTGTTCATGATCAGCCTTACCTAAGATCCATGCATTTGATTAGTTTTATCCAAAAACCAACCCTTGGCTTTACAATCCTCTCTATTGTATCTTCATTTCCTGTTTCACTAATTTCTGCTGTAATGTTTTAGAGTATCTGTTTACTTTTGCTGGATTGCATTCTTTGTGCATTGACTATCAAGTCTATTTTTTTTTGGTGAGACTGGGGTTAGAACTCAGGGCAAACTAAGGTTTGAGCCACACATCTCCAATCCATTTTTTTCTGGTTATTTTGGAGATAGGGGTCTCAGGAACTATTTGCCCAGGCTGACCTCAAACTGTGATCCTCCTGATCTCAGCCTCCCAAGTAGCTAGGATTATAGGTGTGAGACACTGGTGCCCAGCTATTGGTTTCTTTTTATTATAATGCATTTGTCCTATCCACAAGTTTTTGATTGACAAATTTGGTGATCATTCAATTTAAATTTTTTGAAAAGTTTCCATTATAATTGATTCCTTGATATGCATATGTTAAATTTCAAAATGTTTAGATATTTAAAATAAAACCTTTTGTTCTTGACTTCTGTTTTTGCATTGTTAAGAGAATGTAGTCTAGGCTGGCAGGGTAGCTCAAGTCCTAGAGCGCTGGCCTTGCATACTGGAGGTCTGGAGTTCAAATCCCAAGACCACCTCAAACGATTTTCAGGGCTGGAGGAATGGCTTAAGTGGTAGAGTGCCTGCCTAGCAATCATAAGGCCCTAAGTTCAAACCTCAGTGCCACAAAAAAAAAAAAAAGAGAGAGAATGTAGTGTATATTTATTCTTTGAAATTTGTTAAAATTTGCTTTATAATCTGTTTTCAAGAGAATAAGATTTTCCTATTATGACATCAAACTTGTATTATTATGTACACATATACACACACACCTAATTTTTTGTTATAACCCAGTATAGTGATGGATTTACCCATCTCTCTCTTCTTCCTTCCTTCTTTCCTATTTTTCCCTCTCTTTTGTTTTCCTTTCTTCTACTCTACATATTTGGAAGCTAAATTATTAAATGCATAGAATTCTACAATATTTAAATCTTTTAACATTATGTAATGACACTACCCCTAAGAATGACCGTTTCCATAAAATATGCTACATATAATATTCACGAATAGGGAGCACATAATGCACAATAATACATAATATGAAAAATGACAATATAATAGACACCCCAGCTTTGTGTTAGTTTTTCCTAACACATTTTTCCATCCCTTTACCTTTTATGTGCATACCTAAAAGTATGCACATAAAAACAGCCTGTAACTATATTGGAAAAAAATCAAATTTGACAATCCCCATCATTTAGTTGAAGATTGTAATCTACTTGTATTTATTTTGATGATTACAGTAGCATAAGTTTGTGAATGGCCTAAGCTGACCCAGCTCCCCCGCTTTTTGCAATTCTTGGGCAGAATGTACCCTGAGCTAAAGAGCAGTCAGGAACACTCTCTTCTTCCTCCTGGACCAGCAGGCCACGCCCTAGGATGCTTCAGCTCAGTGAGTTCAGTGACCCTCAGGAGAATAAAACCCTGGAGTGGATGCTAAGGGGACTGGCTGGCCGTGGATCCTAGGCTTCTGTCCTTCATGACTATCTGTGAGTAAAATTCTGCTGTGCCTGACTTGTGTGAGTGCTCTGTCTCACTCAACCCTGGCAGCCAGTTTGTGCAAAACCTGGGGAGAGGGGGGCTAGGTGTGTGTGAACACTCCTGCCAGTCCTGGGAGTCAAATGGATCTAGAAATCTTAGCAGAAATTGGTGAGGAGTGTAAAATCCTCCCCTGACACCCAGTGTGTGGCAGGGATGGACACTGGTGAATGTCAACAGGTAGACTTTTTCTAACATCTACTTTTTGCTTCCTAAGCTTTTTTAATGGTATTTTTCTCATTTTTTGCCCTTCCAAAATTGAATTTTTTCTTTTTTCCTCCTAACGATTTGGATGCTGTAGTTGTATTATTTTTTGGTGGAACTGGAGTTTGAACTGAAGGCTTGCAAAGGAGGAACTCTGCAGCTTGAGCCACACCTCCAATCCACTTTGTTCTGGTTATTTTGGTGATGGGGTCTCAAGAACTATTTGCTGGGGCATCACACCTCGATTCTCTCAATCTCAGCCTCTCATGTAATTAGGATTACAGACGTGAGCCATGGTCACCCGGCTAAATCCTGTTTTTACCTGTTTATAATTTGCCTCCCCACCATTCTTTCCTTCTGGAGCTCCAGTTACTGGTATGTTAGAACTTTCATTCAAACTGCTTTCTCCTTTAACCTTACATTTGTATTTTCTATCCATTCTAATTTTTTTTTTGCATTCTGAGTAATTTATTCAGCTCCACTTTAGAATTCACTAATTTCCTCCAATCAGCTGTTTAAGCACCTAATTTGGATTGTTTCCAACAACTTTTTACTTTTAAAAGTTGTTCATTATGCCTGGTCCTTCACAGTGTGTTATTGCTTTCCTATTTCCTGAGACTGTATTTTTAATTCCTTAGAAAATTAACATATAGTAATACTCCATTCTCCATAACAATTCCATTCTTTGAAGTCCTTGGCAGTGCTTCTGTAGACTCATCCATGGTTTGTTGATCAGAGAGGTTGGACTCCTATGGAGTTGGTATGTACCCAGGTTGTTTTTCATCAGAAATGATTTGAATTTGCTTCTGCCAGGAGCCAAGGAACACCTTTGTTTCTGGACTTGTGTGTCCCCGTTTGTTTCCTGCCCTGGTGACTTTCTTACCTCTTGGTGGTCTTCCCTTCTACCTTAAAAAGTATGATTTTTGTTCAGAAACTAGTTGTTTCGTAGAAGGAAGACCCTGCAGAAAGCCGAACCCATAGTGAATTCTCTGGTTGGGGAAAATTCACTGGTAGCTAAGATGACATTTTTAAGAGTGGGCTCTGAGTATGGTGGTGGTTACAGAAATGAGTCAGGTTTTTGGTCCAGTAATGAGGTCAGTTCTCAGTAAACAGGGGCTGATTATTCACCTGACTGGCAGGGTAGGGGGAAAAGGAGAGGGTGTTAGTGGCTTAGTGTATCAGAGGGTCCATTTGTGAGCTTGATTCTGAACAAAGAAAACAAAAACAAAGCCAAAGCATTTTTGAGTAACTATGAAAGACCAAACTGAGCCAAGATCAACTATATGGAAGTACCATAGAGGTCTGGGGGCGGGGGGCGGGGAGGGAAACAGAAAGTCACTGAATAAAATCCCTTTTGCACACTTCCAGGAAACACAATTAGGTACATTTCTCTTTAGACAAAAGTATTATCAAGTTTTTTTTGAATCCTACTAAACGTCCCTTTTCACTTTCTCTAAGAATTATTATTGTCCTTTTCAACACTTAGGGTCCATCCTTCTTCCTTCCCTGTCCACTCAAAGATGGCACAGCTGTTCTTACCACAAGCAGGGCCTGTGCTTACTGACCACTCCAGGAAGCCTCCCCTGTCACTCTGCTGGCCAGACTGCCACCTGGTCCTGCCCATTTCCTCACTGGCCTGAGGCTGTCTGCCCTTCTTTGGTGGACAGCTCTAGCACCCTGACACCTATTAAACAATGAACTGTGGGAAAACAGAGGCTGGCCCAGGTCATGAGCAAACCAGTGTGCACTTGATCCCACTCCAGAAATAAAAGCCTGAAATTCACAGTTTAGGTGTTTATTTTTACTGCTTCTTAGACAAACTCTACAAGGTTAAAAACAAAATGCATAGGTTTTACATATCGACCTCAGGCCGTGGCAGTTAGCATGTGGGTTGAGGCATTTCTGTACCCAGAGGCACACAGACTGGACCAGGCTTAGGGCGCAGCTTGCTCTCTTGGGGATGTCATTGCCAGCCATCTGATGAGGTACAGACACAAGGTCAGGGTCTTTCATGAGCTGATTGTCTGTATGGTGGATGACAGCTACCTGCCCTACCTGTTGCCTCCTGCTACTTTTTTGGAATTCTTCCCTCCTGGAAGTAGGAGGGTGAGAAACTAGCCTGGACTTGCCCATGTAGCAGCATCTTTGGTGTAAGGGACCACCAGGGAGGTCTGGAGAAGGAAGGTAGCCAACACCCACTAGGGAGGAACCATGGGGGATTTCTGCTGCCTGTGATCTTCCTGCTTCCCCTGAACAGGGGACACAAATGCTAAAACCTCTGCTCTGCTTGTCCCCTTTTCTGTGAGCTTCTGTGGGCCACAGCTGTTGCTCCATCAGGACCAATTTGTGCCACAAGCTCTTACCTCCCACCCTGGAGCAGCAGCTATAAAGTGGTTTCTCCCGGACCTCCCTCCACTAGTCATGGACCTAATGAAAGGTTCTTGTGCTGGGCTTTCGCTCTTTTCCCCTGGGAGATGCTAAGGTGCCCTGCAGACAAGCGTGTGGAGCCTCCTGCAGGGCTGCCCCGTCTCACGTACTCTGGTCAGCCTTCAATGGCCTTACTCTCTTTTCCAACAAGAAAAGATGAGTCTGGGCACAGGAGGAGGATCTTCATGTTCAGAGATGAGTTTTTGGTGGCAGATCACTCTGACTCTGCAGGGGTTTGGGGAACTTAGGGGACAGCAGCTGTTTCTATAAAGAGGAAATCAACCAGTACCTGTCTGAATGAGGGGTGGATGGCACAAGACTGGAGAATAGATGCCTTATGGCCCTGACTATGGTCTGGCCTCTGGTGCTTTGGTACAGTGGCATTTTAGGTTTGTAGTTTGGGCAGAAAAGTCCCTTCCAGCTGTTTGAGCTGTAATATGATTGTCCTCCTCCACCTTCTCCAAGGGGATACCTGAACCACAGACAGTACTGATCTCTATATGTATGTATATGCTATGTTTTTCCTATACATAAATACCCATGATAAGGTCTAAGTAATAAATTAGGAAAGAGATTAACAATACAATAAAATCAAAGAATTATAGCAATATATAGTAATAAAATATGGGAACGTAATCTCTCTAGAAAGAGTCAAGACAAACAATATTTTCAGGCTGCGGTTGACTGGGTGACTGAAACAAAGTTGAAACTGAAAATAAGGGGACCACTGTACCCTGTGAGGAGGACCTAGGAGCTAGTGTGGTTTTCTGCCCAGAGGCAGCAGAGGACATTTGAACAGGTCTGTTATTTTCCCACAGACTCAAATTAATGAAGACAGTCCTTCAGCAGGGCAGGTCCAAGAGGGTCTAGGCAGGGGTGATACTCAGGGAGTACTGCCATTCCTCCCCGACACCCGATTTGTCAGGGGTCTGCTGCAGGCCTTCCTGGGAGACAGTTAAATTAATGATGGAAAAGGCGAGAAGGCACAGTGGTTTAAAAAACGGTCACCACCCACTTAATGGAGAGAAAGCAATTACACTAGCTCTGAACACCGGGTTCATTAGTGGCTCCAGTTCAGAGGTGACTTTCACACCCTCACAAGAGGATCAATTTGCAGGCTCTGTGGTGACTTCAGACTTTCAGGGCAGGGGGAAAACCCCTTAGCTCAGTGAGGCTCAAGTGGAATAGCTTCGGCCCCAATCCCCTGCCCTCCCCTATGCTGCAAAGGACCAATCTTCAATGGCTCCAGCACAGACTCCAGCTGTGCCCCTCACTGTGTTCCTGCTAAGCCTCCTCTCCCCTGCTGCTGCAGAGGCAGCAGGAAGATCAGATCTGCACCCCTGCTCCGTGGCTCCTGGTGCAAGGTGGGCAAAGCCAGAGCTGTTGTGTCTTGGCCACTTAAGAGTTCCATCTCTGCACCAGCCTTGGGATGTAGCTAAAGAGGAGCAAGGGAGGGGGACAAACGATACAAGATTCTTCGGTACAAAGAGTGTGAGTGTCCCTCTGCAAATGTCACAAGAGTGTGAGCTGTTGTTTAACATCGGACACTTGCTTTTAAATCTATACCTTGAAATCTCAGGGACTTAACTTTTTAGCTAAGTATAATCGCAAATCCTGTTAGATATAGGAAATATATGTACATACATATCACACACACAGGTGTGCCATTCTGAATAGTACTGCGTACATCGTGTCTCAGGAATTCCAACCCCAAACCACCCATTTGCTCGCAGTTACTCTGCTCAGCACCATCCAGAAAGAAAACCCAAACAGGCTCAGGGCTGCAACCCCCTGTGCCTGGTTTTTGGCGCCTCATACGTGGCTTGTTTTCTCCGGCAGGACATGCTCGGTTGACACTGTGAACCTGACCGCGCCATCCTTCTCCCAGCCCCTCCGGATCTTGGCGAGTCTGCGGCTGAAGCAGGGCAGGAGGAACAGGCCCTTGGCCAGGATGACGACGCAGGGCACCAGCAGCGTGAGCGTGAAGGTGGGCGGCAGGTAGAACTTGTAGCGGCTCTCCTCGAAGGCGCGGGTCCAGCCGTAGGTGAGCGTGTGCAGGGTGCTCAGCACCAACGCCACAAAGCCCAGGGTGGACTGCAAGGCAAGTGAAGGCTGGAGTGAGGACCGGGCAGTGCCACCGCCTCGGCTCCCTGGCGGGGGAGGGGCGCGGCTGTAGGACTCTCGGCTGCGGGTTCAAATCTATATGCCAGAGGACCCCTAGTAGAAAATGGTAATAGGCTTCTATGTGAAAGGTGTACAAGGAGTGAATCACGTAAATTTCCTAAGGTGATGAGGCTTTCCCCATCTGGTGGCTGCCAGATGATTTTAGGTGAACTTTACTAGTTTTGTGTATATTTTAATGTGCATTAGAGTACCGACTGTCTGTCAGCAAACCAAATCAGAATTGCACAGATAACAGTTGGCCTAAGATAAGGCTGGATTAAAAAAAAGGGGGGGGGGGGAGGAATTGAAATTGATTTTAAGCTGATTTTTTTAAAAAAGAGAAACACAAAGTAAATAGTTTACAGGTGGCAGGTGGACCCAGCTCCAATACGGAAGGTGACACCAGGAGCCTCTGATCTGGGTGGCCTAGCACTGTAAAGAAAGCACAGATGCTCTGTGTATGTTGGTCCTTCATCTCCTGCCCCATGCTGAGCTAAGAGCACCCAGGCAGAAACCCTGCCAGGCCTACCTCCCATCAGGAAGGAGAAGAGTGACTGTGGGGTGAGAAGTCATCATAACTCCAAATAGAAACAGTATGGGTCTTCTTACAACCCGAGGCTTTTGTGGGTCACTGGCAGGCAAGAGTAACTTCTCCATCTCCACCCCAAACACGAGCCAGGATGTGGAAATGTCCCTAAAGCACTACTCTGGGTAGCCCCGGCCCCTTTTGCATGGCAGCGTTCTCATGGACCACAAAGGGAAGGTGCAGAGTCTACCATGGGTGCTAGTTTTAGTTGGCACTGACCCTGGGGGAGTGACTTAATCAGCCTCAGTGGAAAGCAGGGGATCCTACCAGCCAACATCAGTGAGCGCAGGGCAAGGGCAAAGGACACTGCATGTTGGGCTGTATGGGGCAGGAAGCAGAGGTCCAGGCAGCTCTGGTTGAATTCTGTGAGCACCAGGAGCCATGGAGAGGTACTGGCCAGAAAGACCTACTTATATCACATAAATTACAGTGATCCATCACGCAGGGAATGCTATGCATTTTTTTGAAGGAGACATTGTAAGGGTTTAACTGAAATGTGGTGGGAGTGAGGGCTCTCTATACTTTTGTTTGGAACATTCCAGAAGAGCTGCAAATGGGCATCCTAGACTTCCTCCTAGCCCAGCTTGTCAGCACTGACCCAGAGGTCTGGCTGAGAGATGCTGTCTTATGTGCAGTCTCTTCAGACCCCTTTCTGAATTGGGCTGGAGAACTGCAGGTGTAACCCGTGAACAAGCACTTGCCTAACATGTGCGAGCCCTGCAAAACAAACACAAATGAATCAATGAATGGGGCTGTTTCTGCACTGGCCCTCTCGTTCTTGCTGCTCTGGTTGGGGTGGGGGTGGTGAAGGGAGGGTGCTCTGCTTGTTTCCACTCCCGTACAAACTCCCAGACAGTGAGTTCCAGTGAGTGAAGGAACATGGTTCAAACTGGGGCGTGGCTCAAGTGGTAGAGCACCTGCCTAGCAAATGCAAGGCCGTGAGTTCGAACTCCACTACCACAACAACAGTAACAACAACAAAGGAGTATCATTTGTTCAGAACAATCGCTTATCGTGATTTTGCTAAATATAGTAATAAGCATTTTCCAGTGGTTGCTCAAGAAAATTGTAAGGGCTGCTACTGGGCACATTTCTACCCCAGATAAAATTAGACACCCAACTCTGTCTTAGCCATCTCTGGTTCTTCTTGGCCTTGTGTCCACTCCAAGGACTTTTTGCTCATCCTTAGTGACTTCCTGTCTCAATGTGGTCAGTTGGGAAGCCACGGTTGGCTTTGTACTATGAACTACAATTAACTCATATGTCATCTCTCTCCCCCAAACAGAAGCTTCCTTGACTGTAAGTTAGAAGGAACCAAATCCTCGTCACTTCCAGAAGTGTCTATAAAGAACTGCAAGTTCTGATCCACAACTTTTTCTAAATTCTGATCTCTCACTATGGAAGGCTGGGATTAAAAAGGTTCCGAGCTCTGACCATGGGGCTGTCTTGCACACCTGTCAATCACCCTGATGACCTGCAATGGCACACCCAGGCCAGTTTGAGGTCTCCCCACTTTCCAGTCATAGAGTACTGGGAGTATCTTTTGTTCCCTGAGAACTGATCAGCCTGAGGCTGGTTTCAGACCCGAGCTACATGTTACCATCACCTGGGCAGCTTGGGAAAAATGTCAGTGCTCCAGCCCCACCCCCAGAAATTCAGATTAAACTGGTTTGGGGTGGGGTTCAGGCATCTGTTGTTTTTCAGAGATCAGCAGATGATGCTGATGTACCGCCAGGACTAAGCCACTAATTTTGGAAGCTCATCACCCACGCCCTTCCAGCTTGAGGTTGAAGAGTCCACTTGGGCTCCTGTGCTCAGGTTGTTTGGTTGAAGAGGACTTGGAACCAGTGAGGCTGATCGGTGCCTACATGCTGTGCCATGGCTTTCCCATATAAAGCAGCAATGAGAACCCACACAGGTCTAGGCCTTACAGAGGCTTCAGCATCTCCCTTGTGTGACATGGCCTGTACTCCAGTGTTCGGCCTATATGGGCCACCATTCTCAGTCCCCCATCTGGAGAGTGAGAGATGGGCTCTCACAGCCCAGCACTAGAACAGTAGAGACACTGCCTGGGCCCACCAGCTGCACTCTACTCCTCCTGTTCATATACCCTCATCCCTTTGCCTTCTAGAATCCCATGGTGCAGATGGCAGGAAGCCCCAGCCTCCAGCTAAGGGCTGACAGCCAAAGACCAGCCAATAACAAAGGGCCTTTTGAGTTTCTAGTGTTGCTGGGAAGCCTGGATGACTCCAGCCAGTTTGTTTCACTAAAACTCTCTTTCCTTGAAACAACTGAAAAATTGCAGAAAGGCCAAAGGCAACCAGAAGAAGGGAAGGGATTGTCATGGGGCAACTAATAAGCCCTAGCCCCAGATAGGGCCATCTTTTTTTTTAATATGGAAGTTTGTTAGCAATAAAGACACAGCCAGGTCATTGGGGGCTCCTGTTGGTGCTTGGTTACTATGGCATGAGGGGCTTTGGCAATTGCTCTCCAAGCTGGAGAAAGGGGCTGTCTGTCATTATTTCAGACAAGTAGCTGGAGAGAGCAAGGTCAAAGGCATCCTCTCTAACTGTGGGACTTAGGTGCTGAGGACTGAGTTTCAGCTTTTCTGGGCACTGAGCTGCTTCCAGCTGGGTCCTTTGCAATCTAATGTTTAACCAGCTGAATTGGGAGCGTTTAGCACAGAGACCAAACAAAAACACCCAAAGAAACACGGAGCAAAACTTAACACTTTAAAAATAACCTTGGAAGCAAAAGGATAAATGCAAGCAGCAGTCACCTTTTTATAAAGTCAACAGTGCTCTAATGGCTCTTAGCTAAACAAAGTACTGATGGACCCAGGTCAGCCCAGGTCCCTTGGAGACAGGGCCAGTTTCTAAGTCTCAGAGCTGTGTGCTGTTATTGGGTGCATGGGGGGGCGCCCAATACACATACCCTGCTTGCATCTTCACGATGACCACGTGAGTGACACAGGCACAAGAAGGAAGCAGAAGCTCAGAGGAACTGGGGGCCTTGGCTGAGGTGCAGGGCTGGTAAGCCTTAGTATTGAACCCAGGTCTGCAGCTCCTCCTCTTGTGTTCCTGCACAGGAGAGCACCACACACTCGAGCACATGCACATAGGGGTCACCCTGCTTCCAGAGCCATCTCTAAGCATCTGAGTCCCCAGGTGGGGGGCAGGCCTGTAATTCCCCAAACTCTGTGTCTTCTAACACTCACACTAAGAAAATGCAGCTCACACTAAGAAATGCATTTTAGTTTATGCATGACAAATGCCCAGTGACAACCAGGGATCTCACACACACACACACACACACACACACACCCTACTGAATCAGTATAACTGAAAATATCTACCCTTTACACCATGCAAGGCACTCTGGTATTTTCTTTGCCATTTTACTCTATTTCATTTTTTAAATTCTGGGTTCCATTCACTGAATGGATCGCATGACCCACTCATGAGCGCTCACGGTATCTACAAACTCTGATTTGGACCACTTTGATGCCCAGGGTTGGAGTCTCTTGGCTTCTCTCCCACTGCCTCCTACTGAACTCAGAAATGGATGGTTGGATGTGGTGACATGTCTCTGTAGTCTCAGCTACCTGAGAAGCTGAGACAGAAAAATCACTTGGGCCCAGGAGTTTGAGGTCATTCCTGGCAAAACATCAAGATCCCATCTCAAAAAAACAAATTGAAGCAAAAAAGGAATGGGTGGTTAGTAGCTTAGTCAGTAATAGTGGAAATGTAGCCAGATACTCTGAGAAGAAGAGCAAAAGGCTTTCTATTTTTCTTTATCACACAGAACCTCTCACTGTGGCTCACAAAAACTCCCTTAGGGCACTTACACCATTTTTCAGGAGTATAAACTGAGGCTGGGGTGGTGGTGGACATGATCTGCCCATAGTTACACAGCAAGGACATGGGGGGCAGGCACAGCTGAGCTCAGGCGCCCTCCATTGCATACTCAGGAGACAGCAGATTTCGGTGGATAGAGTACAGGCATTTGATTTCCACAAATAAAATCCTGCCTTTCTACTCACCCCACCCCCTCCCCTGCTCTTGCAGTGGAAGGACTTTCATATTTTTATTTCAATTCTTCAATATGTAAAGCAGAGTGCAGCATCGGGGGACCCAGTGGGCTTTTGCTAACAAATCCACAGGCTTTCTCTGGCAGCCAGAGTCAGGACATGTAATCTGTGACTGCTTAGCAGTGCAACTTCTGGTGAGAGGAGCAACCTGCAGTCTGCTTTAATTGTGGACAAACCATGCACCCAGGATACTCTAGGCGGGAACAGGAAAACCCTAGATTTGGTTGTGTGACACACAGGGATTAGTGACAGATCAAGAAATTCCTTTCCCCCAAACTTCTTATGCCAGGATGTGTTAGCCCTGAGCCCTCCTCCAGGGACCTTCTGAGGTGAGCAGAGCCAGTTAGATTCACAGATGCTCTTTAAAAACAACCACAACTGTTTCATTCTAAAGTACACTAAGGGTCCCCAGTCATGAATAATTAATTTGGGTTACATAAGAGCAGTACACTGTCACTGTCCCTCTGAATCCTCTCTGCACAGAGAAGATACTTGACAGATTCTGGTTGATAGTGGGGGTAGATAATAATGTCTGTTCTCTGCCCTGATACAATAGTCACAGGAGCCAGTGTTAGTCAGCTCCTATCCATGGGAGAGGCTGAGTTAATCTGCCAACCCTGACCACGTACTCTGTGGAGAACAGTGGAAGACGCCAAGGAAATGCAAGAAATGTCCCCATATCCATCATCTCCATTATAACTGAAACAAGGCTCTGCTGGTCTTGCCCACATTGCATCCCAGACCTGGGGCATGCAGCAAGTGCTCAATAAATGCTTACTGCAGGAACAAATGCATGGAGACCCCTTGCCACCAGCAGCATTTTCCACACAGTGTTGGTAGCTTTATCTGAGAAATGAGGTGGGGAGGTGTTTGTTTTTGAGAAGCTCTCAATAATTTTTGCCTGAGCTGGCCTCAAACCTATCTCTGCCTCCTGAGTAGCTGGGATTTTAGCCATCACTGGAAACTTACTGTGCCAAAATGTACTGTGACTCTCTTGGGGGAGGGAAATCTATTCTCAAATTTATTTGATGACAAATCTGCTTCTTTTAAAATGTATTCCTTTATTTTTCTTGCAGTGCTGGGGATGGAACCTAGGGCTTTGCACATGTCAGGCAAGTACTCTACCAATGAGCTGATAGCCTGGCTCCCAGACCTCCTTTTCTCTGGATTTTTCCCAGGAATGGTGCCCTTTGGGAAATGCTGTCTCATCCTTTATAAAGGGCAACTCAACCACTCTCCTCCCAGCTGCCCTGTGTGGGAACAGCAGCACCAGGTTGAGCTGAAGGTACGGTGGACCAGGTTCACTCACAGCTGAGCCATTCCTATCGAGACCAGCAAGGTACCCGACAAGTGCACGGCATGGAGTTATGTTTGGGAGGCTCAAGCACTGTATTAACTCAGGTTAATACATCCAGCATCCTCTTGTCTTGTCCCAGCCTCTAATCTAGCTTCCTGAAGTCAGAGGGGTCAAGAAGAGCTTCTAGTGGGCATCCCATTATCAGAAGGCCAGGAGGCTCTGCAGAATGCAAAGGCCCTGGTACCCAGACAGGTAATCCCACTGTACCAGCGATGCAAGTCCAGGTAGTTTTGGGAAAGACACTAGCACCAGACAGGTGGCCCATAGCCCAGCTGTGGCCAGCTCATAGTGGGGCCTACTTTACCTGCACAAAGCTGAACTCCCTCCAGTTCAGTGAGTTTGCAATGGACGGCAGTGAGGTGACGGCCAGCAGGGACAGTGTGCCGAGGGCCAGCACGCCCAGGGAGAGGTATATCTCCATCCGCCAGACTTCTTCCTCGTCCCACAGGTAACCCTTATTGGCAAAACCTGATGCAGATGGAAGAAAAACTATGAGTACCCTGGCAAAGGCCGATGCCCCGGGACGTGAGTGAGCAAACGCCACAGCTGCCTTCATGCCCCACCGAACACGAACATGTCCTGGTGGGTTCCAATCACTTCTCAGGTATTAGCAACTCATTTAATCCCAGAGTCACATTGAGGTAGAGATCACTATTAACCCATTCTATGGACGAGGGAAAGGAGGCATGAGGATCAAGTTGCCTTCTCAAGGTCATGGGCTCTGTGGGGCTCCCACACGTGTGCTTGGGGGCCCCAGATGGGTCACGTCAGTCAAGAGGAAGGGCTCAGAGAAGTTGACAAGAAATACAGATTCTCTAAGCATGACTGCATCACGGTTTTCTGGTCCCCATATCCAGCACAGCAGAGAGGTACGATCTCAGCTCTGAAACCCTAGGTCAGATGGAGCCATGCCTCTGAGGGCTGCCTCCCCTCCCAGCCTTCCTCATCCTGGACCTTTTGTCTCTCTGGTCCCTCAACCTACTGTGTCATTTGCTGACATTCAGGACACCCAAAGATACAGACACTCATCCTCCAACACCTCTGAACTCAGAGTCCCCAGGCTCCCACCACCCCCCATCTCAACTTGTCCATTGCTTTCTGAGGCACTCAGTTTTGGTTCGACTGTTACTGAAGTCCAGTCACCAAGCAGTCCAGCAAGCACTGAGGATCCGCTTACTGTGTGCTGAGCCCTGGGCTGCACGGAACATGAATACCTGCTCTCTGGAGCTCTGGGGTCTCCTATGCATAAATCAGGGATCCTGATCGCCCCACCTGAAGTGAGCCTGCAGCTGAACCCCTCCTCTTTGGCTGCCGCTCACTGGCATAGCACCTGCACGGGGAGGAACGCGTATCACGGGCCTTCCATTAGCACCGTCATCTCCCGGGCAGCTGGGTTCCTGGAAGTCAGGGTGTTGTCTGAGAAGCCGCATGACACGTTAGTACTTCAACTTTACCCGCAAAACAAGCAACAATACATCCATGAGCAAATGGGACTATTTGTGAGTGGGCTGGTCCTTGCTTCTCAAACCAGAATGACTCATCCAGGTTTTCTGAGACACTACTTCAGCAAAAAAGAAAATAACATAAGCCCAGTTACCCGATAAAATATTAAAAATGAATCCGGGGCTGAACCAAAGTGGTTGTAAAGCTTATCAGAGAATTTAAAGAGACTCAGAGAATGCCACCCCCTGGGTACTCAATCTGAAAATGATTACCTCCTTAGTATTTTAGGGCAGGCTGGCTCACGTTTACGTCTATAAACCACAAAAGAACCAGGAATCTGGGGACCCTGCCTCTTGTCCTGATCACTAGCTGTGGGGGAACTCTGGGAAATTGTCTCTGGGCCTCAGTTTCTCTACCTGACAGATCTGGATGAGGGAATGCCTGAAAGTCTGATTTTGTTTGTACACCTGGCGTGACAGAAACAGACAGCAGGATTAGTGAGAAAGATGTGGCTGGTGTAGCCTTGCACAGGGCACAGGTCTGCTTCGTAGCTGTGCCCAAAGGAGGCTGACTCACTCCTGGCAGTATGAACCACTGCTGTTAGAGAAGTAGGCAAGTCATCTCCGCGTGGCACACTGTTTCTCAACTCTTCTCATTACTCATTCCCCTCTGCGTTTTGGTAAGCTCAGGCAGTTAATGTCACAAGTCAGGCTTTGGATGACGGCATATGTATACTACAGTGGCTTGCAAAATGCCTTGGTTTTTTTCCTGGTATTCCTACCTGCAGCGGATCTGGGATGGGAAGAGTGAGATGGGCAAGGGAGTGGTGATGGGGGGGACACCTGCCTGGGGATCTGCATTGCAGCCATGTTTAACGGCCTTTGAGATTCATGTGCAACTTCTAAGTCTACAGTGCTGGACTCGCAGCTCCCCAGGGCCAGTGCCACACGTGCTCTCTGTCCCCTGGGAATGCTCCCACATACAGAACTGATCAAAAGGCGATGGACCAGAGACTGGGGCTTCTATGTGTACAGAGGGGGACTTTTACGGTTCTGGCCACACTGAGAAGGCCCAGGAGAGCAACTGTCAGCCACAGATGGGTGTGGGACTGCCTCTCCTTAGTGGTGGGTCTGAGGCTGCAGGATGCAGGGGTTGGGGCTGGTGAGGCAGCAGCATCACCCTTGTCCAAGTCTCCATGGGTGGTGGTAGTGGGGAAGAGTGTGGTGTCTGCTGCCTGCCAAACCCCAGGAGAAGGCAGGGGGTGGAGGGGGCAGCCAGGAGACCCTTCCCAATAGGACCACTGTCTCTCTGAATGTGTTGGTTTTTTTTTTTTTCAATACTGGGATTTGAACTCAGGGCCTCACTCTTGATAGGCAGGCCCTCTACCACTTGAGCCATTCCATCAGACCTTTTTTGTGGTGGTTATTTTTTGAGAATGATTTGCCCAGGTTGGCTTTGAATTGTGATCCTCCTGATCCCTGCTCCTGACTAGCTAGGATTACAGATGTGAGCCACTGGTGCCCAACTGTTACTTTTTTTTTTCTTAAATACAATCACACAAGGCCTCCCGGATTTCTGTTAACACTCTCTCTCTCTCTCTCTCTCTCTCTCTCTCTCTTTTGGCAGTACTAGGGTTTGCACTCAGTACCTCTTACTTGCTAGGTAGGTGCTCTCTCACTGGAACTCTACTCTTGGCTGTATTTCATCTGCAAGCACAAGAAGGATGTTTGGGAAACGAGTAGCTTGTGACTGTCATACAGTAGGTGCTTAATTAACAGATGGCGGGGGAGAAATGACCCAAACAATGTATGCATGTGTGAATAAATGAATAAAAAAAAATAAAAGAACTAAAAAAAAAATGGCCATAGTTCTCACTGGAAGCTGGTACTTAAATGAGTTCGTGCCTAAGCTCTACATACAGTGCTCTTTTAAGAAGACTCTCAAGAGGCAGCCAGGCACCGTTGTCTCACACCTGTAATCTTTGGGAGGCTGAGATTGGGAGGATAATAGTCAGCCCAGGCCAAGGTTAATGAGATCCTGTCTCCAAAAATAACCAAAGCAAAAATGGACTGGAGGTGTGGCTCAAGTGGTAGAGCACCTGCTTTGTAAGCTCTGAAATCCTGAAGCCCCAAGTTCAAACCCCAGTCCCACCAAAATAAAAAGAGAGAAATGCCTGGTATTGGCTTTGTGGTGGCCAATTTACAACCAGTCACTCAATGAATATGCACTGAGGACTCTGTGATAAGAATCACGGACCTCAGGGTGGAGGAGCTAGATTTGATGAGGTGTATAAGAAAAATAATAGAAGTATGTACAAAATAGAGCAGATTAGAAAGGTGGGGTGGGGAAATTGGGGATAGACTAGGAGATTTTAACAGAGATGAAGTTTTGCAGGAGGATTAGAAGTTTGCCATGATTCTCTGAGAGATATGTGCACATCAGATTTGGGGTGAGGGAGATAGAAAACTGTGTGTTAAGCATTGTCTTTGATCTTGATTTTGACCTAAAAATGCATCTCTAGGGAGCCATACAAGTAATCAGAAAACACTATATAAACATCGGTTATTGGTGGGCTGGAGGTATGTTCAAGCTGCTTAGCAAGCTCACTGAGTTCAAACTCCAATACTGCCAAAAAAAAAGGGAAGAAGAAGTGGAATTGTTGGTTCTGAGTCCTAACTCTGCTGTTTATTGGCTGTGTGACTTTGGTTGAGTCACTTAACCTCTGTGCCTCAGTTTTCTCATCTGTAAAATCAGGACAGTACAGCACTTGCCTTACAGGGATAATAGAGGTTCGATGAATTCACAGTGGGTAAGTAAAGCTCTTACATTGGTAACCAGAACATGACAAGCTTTCTTTAGGGATCATGACTAGTATTTTCCCCTTTCCACTCACTTCCTGCAGGTAACTCACTTCTCAGCCTGAAGTCTGAAGTTCTTCCTTTCTCAGGAAAATCTAAGCCCACAGAGGTGATGGTGCCAGGTGTCTGTGGGTGGGAAATGAGGGTCTCTGAGAAGCTGCCAGTGGAGAAGCAGGAGCCCCGAGAGTGGGCAGGGGTGGAGGCTTAGGTTCCCAGGCAGCAGCCAGACTCACTTGCCAGTCCTCTGAGGGACAGCCTCATGGTGGGCTTTTCTGTGGTGGGCCTGGCCTCATTAGAGTCTCTGTAGCTTGAGCAAGACCCCAGGCTAGAAGAGGGAGTGGATGGAACATGTCTCATTGGCACCAAGCCAAACCCTGTTGGGTGAATAGTGTCCTGGAATGGACAGGACCCAGTGCCAACCTGGGGGCTGGAGGTGGGACTCTGTAGGGTGAGGGGAGAAAATACAGAAAGGCGCAGGCGGTTTCTGTGCACACTAGGATACCGCCTGTTCCCACCTGGCTTGGCCAAAGCCCTGCATTTCCCAGGAACCCGTGGGCAGAGGAGCTCCATATGGCTCTTTTAAATGAGTAATAATAACTCCACCAATAAAAACCAAAACATAAACCAAAAGCACTCACTCCTGCATCAGGCCCCAACTTCGCTGAGGACCCAAGTCCCAAACCCCAGAGCCATCTTAGACTAGCCCCTCCCCAGCTCTGAACCCCAGTCCCACTACATCAGCGATGCTGTGTTTTCTAGTTTCAAAATATGCCTTCACTATCTCCTACCCACCGAAGCTCCCACCCCACTCCCGGCCTCCACTGACTCCTTGTGGCCTCCAGTGTCTGTTCTAAGCCCGGCTGCTGGAGTGAGTCAGTCACAGCATAGGCAGATTCCAGTCCTCCAATCAAAACCCTTCACCAGCTCCTGGTTTCCCTTAGGCCCAAGGCCAAAGCCTCTCCTCCACCTTCAAGGCTTCAGGTCTGGCTGTCACCTCTCGGACCTGGACCTCCTCCACCTACCCCATAGGCCTCCTGGCTACCCTCAAAAGTGCCACACCTACTTGAAAGTGCTCCTACTTGAAGGCCCCGTTATGGTGCCCTTTCAGCCTGTGGCACCTGCAGCTGGCCACCTGCTAGCTCTCACCTGCTAGACGTCTTTGCTCAGACAGTCCTGCTCATAATGCCTCCCTGACCCCTTTAAAGCTTTACCATGGGCCAGGTACAGTGGCTCATGCTTATAATCCCAGCTACTCAGGACCTCAGTGTGAGGCCAGTCCAGGGAAAAAGTTAGTGAGACCCTACCTAAAAAACAAGCTAAAAGCAAAAGGACTTGGAGGGGTGAGGCTCAAGTGGTGGAGCACTTGCCTAGCAAGCAGGAAGCCCTGAGTTCAATCCTCAATACCACAAACAAACAAGAAACGCACCCTGCCCTCCCCTGCTCTGCTTTGCTCCTCAGTGCTCATAACCCCCAAGTGCCTGCTCTCCCGTGGCTTCCTCCTGGTTAAGCCTGTGCCCACAAGGATGGGCTATTTGTCTGTTCTCTCCCTGATGGCAGCACGTGGGCAGTGCCCTGCCGGAACAGAACCTGCCCTTGACCAGTGCACGATTTCACCCAGGGGTCAGGCTGCACCTGGTGTAGACAGCGATGGACAGGCAGGTGCAGGGGCACAGGCAGGAGGCGGCATCTGCTTGATGGCCAGGTTGACCAGGTCGTAGCGGTGGGAACGGCGCAGAGGCAGGCAGAAGCTGTAGAGTGCGTGCAGGACTGCGCAGAAGAAGCTGAGCAGCCCGATCTGCTTGCGGTGCTGCAGCCAGTGGTCCAGCCAGTCGGGGAAGCGGCGGTACTTGGTGCCGCGCTGCAGTTGCAGGGCAGCCGCCAGCACGCCGGGCAGGTACACCAGTGACAGCAGCATGTAGGCTACACACGGCAGCGTGGTGTTGACCACCGACACTGGCAGTTTGTAGAACTTGTTCTTATTCTCCTGCACATAGGGATGCAGCACGTCCCGGATGAAGTTGTAGCCATAGAAACAGACGAACAGCCCCAGCGCCAGGAGGGTGGGCACCTTCCAGCCTGGGAGCAGGTGCAGGGGCATGGCCTCCACCTCGCGGGTGGATGCCAGGGGTCCCATGTCCACAGGTTTGAAGCCCATGGGCATGCACCATCTCAGAGACAGAGAGCTTGGCTTCTGGCTGGTCACTGCAGATGGGCACCTGTGTGGAGAAAAGGGGTGGGGGACACAATTGGATGGGGTCGCAGGTCAAGGCCTCAGGAAGCATCTGGGCCAAACTCTCCACTAAGCAGCTAAGGACCACGAGCACGAGAAGTTTTCTAAGTGAGCTGCAGTTAATGTGAACAGTGGGGCACAAATGGCTGTACCCAGGCAGTGTCATCCCAGTTCTCTGTGGCTCCCCCAGCCACACCACTAAGGAGAGAAACCCGTCTCAGTGAGTTCCTGCCTGGCTCACTGAGATCAATGGCCACAAGTAAATTCTCATCCCAACAGCCCCCACAGGCTCTGGGAGTTGCCTGTGGGTTTGCATGTGGCCTGGAATGTGTGGCCATGGCTGCAGCACCATCCCTCAATATAGGAGTGTCTCCTTTGGTGATGTCCCTTGGTCCCATGGGAACCTCCACCCAAACAGAAGGCCTTCCCCAAGCCAGCCTTGCCTGCCCTCTCAGTCTGAAGCCCACTGAGTTCGCACTGAACACATGTTGGCATCCTTAGATCCCGAAGCTCTCTGGGAGCCTTGCTGGCACTGCTGGGGTCAGTCTGCTCTTCTAATACCAACTGAGCACCTAGTCTGCGTCAGACTTTGTATACGTGATCCGCTGGCCTCCCACAAGCCTGCAGGTAGGGACTATTGTCCCCATTTTTCAGATGAAGAAACTGAGGTCTGGGAGTCTTGTTTTTCACCACTGTGGCTTTGTAGGTTGCGCCCTTCCTACTCCTTAGTCTAACATGAGGTAGGCCCAGGTCCAAGCCCACTTCAAGGTCTCCCTCAGCCAGCCTGCTTGCTGTGCTCCCTCCAGGCCCTGTACCTAACACTTGCCCCACTCTGCCCTGCCAGCCTCCATGCAGGAGCCCCTATGGTGCAGCCTCATTCCAGGCCCTGCAGGCAGGGCTGGCTGGACTTGTTGGTGGACATTCTGCACATGAAGAATCTCACATTTTTGCTCCAGGAAGAGGAAAGTGGCCTTTCAACACTAAAAACCACCCTGTCTTGTTAAGAGTTCCTCTAACCAAGAAATTTATGGAGCTTTTTCTGTTCTGCAAAGCCATTTTTCAGTCCCCAGAAAAATCTGCTGTTGTTACTTGCTCTAGGAAATCCACTGAGCTCTTGGAAGCCCTTGAAATATAGGAGATCAAGTTCGGGACATGCTTGCCTCCCCCAGTTACTTTCATCTTTTACAGTCCAATTTCATAAGCCATGTGGCCCCTTCTTGACTTCAAACAGTAAAAAGCTATCACCTGTTCCACCTTTGCTCACTCCTAGGAAACCCAGTTACCACAGCAGAACAAACATGGGTTTCAGATTCCTCTGAACAGGGTTCAAATCCCAATTCAGCAACCTTGGGCTTTTGAGGGCGATCACTAACAACTCTGAGCCTCAGTTTCCTGCCATACAAAATGGAATTTAACAATGATGTGAGATTAGCTGAGACAATGCACAAACAAAGCTGGTGTGCGATGCTCTTGAAACAGAAGCTCATTATATTTATTGCTGTGCATGGCATATTTTCCCAAGACCACTTGTCCATCCCCGAGGCCAGCCTGCCGGGTCCAGGCAGAGATGACATTAACCTCGCCACTTACAGGCGGGAAGAGAGATGGCCAGGAACTCGATCAAGACTCGATCGAAGTGCCCTCTTCCTGTTGGGTTGCTCACATCCACCAGGATCTTGCCGGCTAGCTGGTCAACTACCACACAGTGCAATAGTGCTCCCGAACCCGCCCAAGATATCATCGAGAGCTCACTGCCTGCTCCTGGAAAGTCACGTGGACAGAGGAGGGGAAGAGCCCAGCTATGCGTTTGGGGTTGCGGCTTCCCACCACCACGCTGAAGCCGGAGCCCACTAGCGTGTTTCCAGGACGAGCATCCCCAGCCCCAGCCCACTTGGGTTCCCACTAGGGCCGCAAGCTGCCAATCACTGTCCATCACGGCGGCTATCTAACGCTTTCCCATCTTCCCTGATGTTCTGGTGCGCAAGAGGAAGCAGGAACCTGTCACAAGAAGGAGACGGGAAAGGACATCTGCCCTCCACCCTTTGTCCTTCTTGCAGAGTTGGTGGAATGAGTTTTAGAAGTGGGTACATACCTGAAGGAATGTAAGTCAGGATACAAGACACACTTGCACATGGATGTTTATTGGAGCACTGTTCACAACAGCCAAGGTGTGGAAACAAGTCTAGATGCCCTACATCTGATGAATGGATTATGAAAATGTGATACACACACACACACACACACACACACACACACACACACACTCATACATACAATAGTGTTTTATTCAGCCATAAAGAAGAATAAAATTATGTTGTTTGCAGGTAAACAGATGGAAGTGGAGAACTTCATGTTAAGTGAAATAAGCCAGGTTCAGAAAGACAAAGGCCGCATGTTTTCTCTCACATGTGGAAGATAGATCCCAAAGATAAATATATACACAAAGCAAACATGATCATACACACATTTTTATGGGGACCATGTTTATAACAGAGGAACTAGTCTATGGAACTCAGAGGAGAGACAAAGGAAAGGAAAATGAGAGCCAACAACACTGAAATGCATTGCATCCGTGCAGATGGAGGATATAAGGATACACACTGAACACTGTTGAATAATAGGGGTAGGAAGGAAGGGTAGGGGCGAGTAGTAGAGGGGGTGAACTGACAAAGCAAAGTATATTCACAGCTGGGGTACATCGAGAAGCCCTTAAACACTGACTCTGGAATTAGGAATGAAGGACAGGACTGTAAAACAGGTACCACGGAGGGGCGTATTTGTGGGAGGGGGGAGGATGAATGGAGGAGATAAGGGAAGGTGAATGTGAATATGGTTGATGTGCTTTGCATACGTATATGAAACAGAACATTGGAATCTTTTGCAATTGTTTTGGGGGGTTGGAGAAGGTGATGTGAGGAGAGACGGAGCGGGCAAACCTGACCAACGTACAATGCAAGGCTATTCAGAAATGTCACAGTGAATCCCTCCTGTACAATTAATGTGTGCTAATAAAAAGGAAAACTATAAAAAGCAGACTATGAGATTTCTATGGCCATGTCATGCAGGGCCATGCTTCTTTTCAAAAGGATTCTGTAACAGAAAATATCGTTAGCCAGGAGTGACCATTCAGCCCCATCCTCACCATTGCTGGATGTCATCTGTGATTATCCACAGAGCCAACATGCTTCTGTGCTGGCTCTTCCTCTGCAGTGTGGAGCAGGAAGTCCCTCTCCTGCTCTTCTTCAGTAGGCAATGAGCAAGCAGCCTGAGGCAGGGCCTCCTCTTACCTGACTCTGGACCTCACCATCATGGGCTGGCACTGATGTGGAGTTCAATGTTTGCCAGATGAATGATGAACACCGAAACCCTCCTCTATGAGGGTCCCGGAGGACATAAAACGAATGGGACCCTAAAGTGGCATGGGTACTCTGGGATTTCCTTCAGTGAGCTTGAGATAAAGGGGATGTGGAGGATGTCCTGGACTTGGGCCAAGAACCCAGAGTAACTTGTTGATACAATTATATTTTAATTGTCACCAACTTTGAACTCAAATTGGCTATTTCCTTCAAGTATGAGGATGAACGACAAACCACAGTAGTTGGCCGGAACTCTGAGTTTGTCACCAAAACTGACCAGAGTCAAATCACAGATTCAAGTATAAGAGTTCTCAGAATACTATTACACCAGCCACTAGGTCTTGCCATTTAACATGCTACTAAACAAGTGTGCATATTACATGCTTTTAAAAAAAAAATTAGCATCTGGAGGCCAGCGCCAATGACTCACACTGTAATCCCAGCCTTTTGGGAGGCTGAGATTGGGAGGATCAAGATTTAAGACCAGCCCAGGCAAATATTTTGCAAGACCCCCATCTCCAAAATAACCAGAGCAAAAAGGGACTGGAGGCACAGTCTAAATGGTAGAGATCCTGATTTACAAGTGCAAAGCCTTGAGTTCAAATGTCAGTTCTGGATGTGAGGGTAATCTGGCTACAACATCTGTCACCCCACTGATTGCCAGGGTTGATGTGACTGATTTGGCTGGCTACTCGGGTGTCCCCTTCCTCTATCACTGCCCCATGTGCATTCCTACTGAAGCTGTGCACCATCCCCGATAGAGAAGGGTAGCTGCATTCCCCTGCTAGAACCTCCAAACAAGCTCTCAAACTCCAGTCCACCAAAAAAAAAATAGTATCTGTGTTGCAATTGTTTTCCTCTGTAACCTTAGGGTACTTTAATTTATGCATTTAAGAGCTTTATTGTTAAATGAATAATAATAAAAAGAGCATTATTGTGATCAGAAGAAGTTCACAGGCTTCACCAGCATATGGGTCCCTCAGGGTCCTTGGCGCAGTAGGCTCAAGAGGCCACCTGACCCCACCCCATAGTGCAGACTTGGAACCCTATGCCAAGAAGGGAGGGCTGGGAACCAGACCGCCAGGATTTTTATTCTAATGTGGGTGTATACTGAGTGACCTGCGACCTGCCTGTGCCTCAGTTTCCCTAGCTGTAAAAGGGAGACAATCCTAATACCTTCCTCATGAGCAGGTAGCAGCAGCAAGCAGAGCCTGGAACCACGCTGAGCTGTCATTAGCAACACAGGTATCATTGAGTAGTTACTTAAGCAAATAATTGGGCAGCAGAAGTCAAGTTCACCTGTGACAGGCCAGAGGTGGAGGAGGAAGGGAGACCCTGCCCGTGCTCCTCCTGCTAGAGGGGACCCTAGCTGCCCAGTCACCTGGGGCATGGGGGTGGGGGGTGTCCTGCCCCAATGGGGAGGGAAAGGAACCACTTGGAGCTTTCCAGACAAGTGTGTCCACATTTGCTGGAAGTCTAGGTGACACCAACTGGGTCCCCTAGTGGACAGAAGCTTGTCCTTCATCTTTGCTCTCTCCTTCCTGTCTCCTAATTAACTTTATGTTAGGATGGGAAAGATGGAGTCACTGATTTACAGTCCACTTGGGGAGATGGACTTGGATAAGACCTGTTTACCAGCAACTAGTCACAGGGCACCTGGGGGCAGAGCCCAGCTGGGATTCTGTCCAGGGGACCAATGCCACCCCGCAAGGGAAGCTAGAGAGGGCTACAGGGCAGCCTTCGCCTCTGATGGTCTGGAAGATGCATGGATGGTTTACAGTCTCAAAATAGCGCAGATCCAAACCAAGGTGAAGAAAGGCAGCCAGACTCAGATTTTGAGTCAGACCTGTGCTGAAGCCACATTTAGCATCGCCGGGAGAAGGATTATTTGAGACTGGCCCTCCCGGTCCTGGAGGAGATCCTGCTTCAGTATTGGCTTCCTCTCAGGGAGTGAGACAGAGACAGAGGGACGCTGGGGGCAGGGGTTGATCTCGTCTGTGTCCCCGACTGGTGCTGCGACATTGGAATATCGCTAAGCCTCCCTGGACGCTCCTCCCAACCTTTTATTGAAGCGACCTACTACAGTCACCCACCCGGTCCTGAGGGCCCGGCTTTCAGCAGCTGGAGAGATGGAAGCTGAACACAGTGCACCTCAAAATTGCTTTGGCCGCCAGATTTCAGTCCTTGGGTCAGGAAAACGCCATGCTGTTCTGCTCCCTTGTGAGTCCTCCTTTTCCCAGGGCAGGTCCTTTATCTTCCTTTCTGAAATAGGGACAGTGCCACTTGCTCGGGGAGGTAGCCAGACAGGGAATCTTATCCAGGTCACTGGAGTGAAATCATGGCCACCGCTGCCTTTATCAGCCAACTGGACAACCTTGAGCAAGCGACTAGCCTCTCTGTGCCTTCATCCCCTTACCTTTGATTGTCACTTCCTAGGGTTGTGAGGGTGACATGAGTTAATATGTGCAAGAGCTGAGCTATCTTGTCTGACTTATGCACGTGTGCATGCTACCCTTAGTTCTTCCTGAGCAGTGGCCACATCGAATTCCCCTATCCTGCCAGGTCCCAGCACAAGCCCTGCTGCGGGTCTTTCAAGGCGGGTGGGGGCAGGGCAGGTGGTAGAGTCCTGGAGATCTGAGAGGCCCAGCAAGTACCCCACTGCCTGCGTATGTGACCTGAGGTAAGGGGTTAATAAACCTGTCTGGGCCTTGGCCCAGGCCTGGCTCTCCTGGGTTTTATTTATAGAGATGGAGCATGGAGGGGATCACATTGCAGTCAGTGGGCCAGGCCTGTCGCCTGCACATAGACCTGCCTACTGCCCTCCCAAGCTGTGGACCAAAGGGCATTGAGGCTCAGGTTTCCCTAACCCTTGGCAGGGTTAAATCATGGGTTGTAATTGTGGCTGGAAGGCCACGCCTGGCCCACAGGCAGTCTGCCAGCTCCTGTCTGCTCTTGGGCAGGCACTAAGGATAGGCAACCATGCCACCAACAACCCCTAGCCTTTTCCTTGGGGGCTGTGACAACTCTTCAGACATGGAGAGGCTAGGGCAGGCCACCACTTATCCTTTGGGTGCAGAAAAATTCTTCCAAGATGCAATACACAATTTAAGAGAAGGCAGTCAGATCCTTATCTAGAACCCAGGCATCACCCCAAGCCACTTCCCTGTGTTGTTGTTTATTTATTTTTTGATGCTGAGGGTCAAACCCAGGACTCTGCATGTGTTAAACACATGCTGTACCACCAAGCTATACCCTTGCCCTTCCTATGTTTTTATAGAACATCTTTGTAGGTCCTCGGCCTCCTCTCTCATTGTCAGGACTTTGTCAAAGCTGACTGCTGGCTGCTTGCTTCTGCAAGCCCACTCCCAACCCCATCCTGCTAATTTGCTGCAGAGAAGAAATTCCCAGTGCACCCTATCAAGACAGTGAAAAGACAGCCCACAAAGTGGGTGAAAGACATGGCAAATCACATATTGACAAGAAACTTGTTTTTTTGGGGGGGCGGGGAGGAGAGGCAGGACTGGGCTTTGAACTCAGGGCCTCGCA